GACATGCGAAGAATTACTCTACGAACAATGTCGCCTAGAAACTGAAATCAGAACCAGACATAAGTTCATGAGATATCCAGACAAATACATAAAATATTTTGGATAGTTGCACCCAAGGCGTCAAGGTTTTATGAAAAGGAAACGAAAAAGGAGAGAAATCGCAGTCAATCTGTTGTGTGATAAAACACACTTACCAGGGCCGCAACATGCATCCCAAGGCCTCTTCTTTCCAGTGCTCCTTGTAGACATTCAGCTATGTCTTTCCCAACCTAAAATAATACGGCTTTGTATGACATATATATATTTTCAATATGCATATGTTAAACTCGCACCAAATACCAAGAAATGGATTACGTTGCCACAAAAGCAAACAAAATGGTTTTACATATTGAAAAAATCACTCCAATTTTTTCCACTAAAAGAAACATTATTTCCATCAGTAAATTCAAGCTTGTGTTTCGACCAAAAAAAATTAAAATTCAAGCTTGTGTTCTTGTTAAACCATATGGGAAAAATGTAGAGAAACTGGTTGAGTGCTCTGAATCAAACCATAGGTAAACTGCACCACCGACAAGTACTCACGATGCAGGAGATCTTTCTGCACCATTGCCAAAGCAACACAGCCAATAAGTACCTGGAACTGAAAACGAATGATCATGAAAGCTGAGGTCAAACAGAAACTTATAACTAACCTCAAACCCTAAGAACAGTAAGAGAACATTCGCAATGAGCCCCCTAAAAAAAGCATAACAGATCAAAAGACTTTACCTTGTTTGTTGACATAAAGCTTTACGCATTGCTTGCAAGATACTAAAATCTGCATTAGACTTTATATATCGTTGCATATAATATTCTCAATCTCCATTAGACTCTTGTTTGGCCGATGCCTTGAAAAAATATCAAGCAGTGCTCTTGGTGGGTTAGGCATTCTCTCTCTTGGAGGAAACTTCTTTCGAGGTAACTTCTACAGTTTGGTTTAATTTTCCCTTCAAAATACAAATTCCATCTAATATCCATCTCAAACATTTTTCAAGTCCATATGCTTATGTGGATAAAGGAAGCTTAAGAGAGAGGGGGAATTTGCTGCATTCCTTGTCTTCTTTCTAGCCAGCATTTTTTTTCCTTAACTCCAAAACTTTATTGCACAAACATCTCATTTGGTTTGTTCCTCATCTGTTCACTTGACTCTTTTGGTGATGCTAGTGAGCAATATAACTATCATCTTTAAATTTCACAGTCAAGTGGTCTACGCAAATACAAAGACAAACCATCATGTAACTCAACCACAATCTGCAGGTGTTTCATCTCCTAAAGCTATCATGGTAATGCATAAAGGAAAGAAGAGAACCACTCAGGCTGTTCAAAATACAAATCCAATCTAATAATATCCACCTCAATCCTTTTGTAACAGATCTTGTTTGTTCCTGATCTGGTTTATTTGTGTTGGTCTTTGGCAGGTACAAGGAAACTCCAACACACTCGATAAGACTGACTTAATCCTCTTGTCAAGCCACACTCCTCTTTATG